ATTTATTTCTCTTTTTCTCTTTAATAAATATTATTCGTTTATCTTTAATATAGTATATATTTGTTATAAATAATCTTCAATAGACAAATTTTACAACAGAATTGATAGTTAACAATACTTTTTTTCATTTAATTTTAAAAATTTATTTAAAGTTAAACTAATGCCATTAAGGAAGGAGTGAAACTTTTATGATTTAGAGAAGCTTTTAAATATGCTTTTCAAAAATAAAATAAATAAATTTCTTTTTAATAATGAACAAATTGAAGACTGCAAAAATAAACGAAGTTAAAATAGACACTCGGAATTTTTTGCCCTCACTGTTTGTACATTCCAGAGTTATTCGTTGTCTTTAAAAAGATATGTTCTCAAAATAAAATTACATTTCATGAATAGCGAAATATATATGTATTTTTATTTATTTTGTTCAATAATTGTTTCTTAATTTTGTTAAAGTTATGAACCAGAATTGTTTAAATTAAAATTAAATCGATATTAATTAAAAAGTAGATTTAAATTAAATCGCAATTAACTAAAAATTAGATTAAAATTAAATCGAAATTAATTAAAAATTAGATTCAAATTAAATAGAAAATGATTTAAAATTGAAATGTAACACGTACCTAAGAAGCAAAAATTTCCAGGTTATGTTTGTAATTTTTGGAATAAAAATATACAAAGGGATCAAGTTTTAATATAAACCATTGTCGTTAAATTCTTCATCACACCTAAAATAATTTTAAAAAAAACCGATTTTCGATTTGTACAGTTAAGTAAAAATTTTTAATCAAGCCAAAAGTGGTACAAACATAACCTTCAAATTATTTGATTCTTACACCTTTTTTTGGAAAAGCATCACAAATTAATTTCGAATTAAATTCAGTTAAAATTAAATTTAGTTAAAATTAAATTCAGTTAAAATTAAATTCAGTTAAAATTAAATTTAGTTAAAATTAAATTTAGTTAAAATTAAATCCAGTTAAAATTAAATTCAGTTAAAATAAAATTTAGTTAAAGTTAAATTTAGTTAAAATTAAATTCAGTTAAAATTAAATTCAGTTAAAATTAAATTCAGTTAAAATTAAATCCAGTTAAAATTAAATTCAGTTAAAATAAAATTTAGTTAAAGTTAAATTTAGTTAAAATGAAATTTAGTTAAAATTATATTTAATTAAAATTAAATTTAGTTACAATTAAATTAAATTGAAATTAATATTATTAAATTGCAATGAAATTAAAATTAGATTAAAATTAAATTAAAATTAGATTCAAAGTTTAAAATTGTTCGATTTATGCAAAAATAAAAAAATTAATTTGTTTATCAATTGTGTTATTTGACAATTCCGTCTGTAGTAAAAAAATAATTCACGTGTGTATAAAAATACATTCGAAAATTAGAAGGAAAATTTTAAGTATAATATTATTGCGATTTTGTTAATGAATTTCAAGGTTGGGGAAAATTTCTTTCATTTCTGTCGCAAAATAAAGCAGATGAAAAAATTGCATATACTTTATTTGAATAGAAATATTCTAACATCTCGAGTTACCGTTTTATATATGTATATATGTACATTGCTTGAATCGCATTTCATCAATTTCAACGAGATTAGTGAGCGTACGTAGCGTATGTCATTGATACGTTGATAACGTCATAAACTGACACTTCAGTGATTGTTACATCTTCATACGGCTCTTGAAAGTAAATTTTCGTATAAAGATTTCAATGACAGCCTTTTTAATTTAACAGCAAAAAAGTTCCGTTTTAATTAATAGAAATATAAGTAAATTTTAATTATTCAATGATAAAAATTATTATAACAATTTTTTTTATTGTTTTTTTTCATTCATGATAACAATTAGTAATAATATTACTACTACTACTACTACTACTAATAATAATAAAAATTATTATTATTATTTATTTAATTTAAATTTAATAATAATTATTAATATTGTTAATAATAATAATAATAAATAATAATAATTTTTGGTTCAATCTAAAAATATTTAAAAAAATTTAGTTTATTTCGAATTTCCCGTTCCCACTTTTTTTTTTTGTTATTTATTGTTGTCGATGAAAAATGAGTATCAAAGGAAAATCTCATTCAGCTTTTTGATTGTGGTTTTGAGAAAGAGTGTGACGCAGCGAAATTTTATTCATCTTATCAGAGAAGAAAGCTCTCTTGATCTACGGTAAATCTCATTTCTCCCCCTTTCCCCCCCTCCCCAAGGGATTGTGTCTTGTAGCCTCTTTTTTTCCAAAAAAAAAAGAAACTAAAAAATAATAGTGTAAAACTGTGTGATAGGGAAAAAAAATTTAATTGCTCTGTGACCTTGACCCCCCTTTTCAATCTGATAACATTCACAATGATTACTACTATTGTAGTTTATTTGTCATTATTTAAAAAAAATTATAAATGACTTCAGTAGAAATTTTTTATCATAAGGGAGATTTTACACGTTTGATATAAAATTATAATTGGTAATTCAATATTTTTTTTTTATTTAACATCAAGATTGTAGTTCTTTTATTTTTTTTATTTATACTTTTTTATTAACATTCTCCCATAGAATATTGGGGGAGGGTTTAATTTTTTGTAAATTTATATTTTATTTTAAAGATTCTCGCGTTAAATATTAATTCTTCTTTTTTATTTCTTTCAAGATTCTCAAATTATTATCAAGGTGGTCACAAGTTTTAGTTTATCAATCTCCCTGACAATTTACTAACATTAAAATTATTTTCTCTGATAAAATTCTTTTTACAGGAAAATAAGTAAAATCCATGAAATTCAATAATTTCTAAAAATTACAATTATAACCCTTCCTGAATTCAATTATTTTCAATAATTTTCAAATAATCGTCATCTCTAAAAGAATTATTTTAAATAATTTTCTGAAAGTTCTTCTAGAATTCAACAGATTTAAATACAAAAACTCAATTTTTTATAATAATTGTAACTGTCCATGTTTTTTCATAAGTTATTAAGGTAATAATATTTTCAAAAAATTATAATAAAGAAATTCTTACAATTAATTTTTTAAAAATATGTTTAATAATTTTTAAAAGTTAATACTTTTTTAATTATAAACAATTGAAAAATTGACAAACAATTGAAAATTGATAAAATCATTTAAAAATAATTGAATTTTTGAAAAATATAAATAAAAATAATCAAATTTTCTGAAAAATTAATTTTTAAAAATATTTTAATGTAATTTTTCAAAAATATTTGAATTTTTTAAAAGAATTTTTGTACAAATTAAAAAAAACTAATTAATTTTTTGATGAATTTTAATTAAGAATTTTGCACATGATTTTTTTCTCCAAAATGTTAAAAATAATTCTAAAAAAAAGTGTAATATTATTTTTTTGTATGTAGGTATTTTTGAATTTTCGGAAATAAGTATAGTTGAAAATATTGAATTTTAAAAATTTAGAAGCTAATTAAATTAAAATTCTTCAAAAGTTGATTTTTAAAAATTGTAACAAAATAGTTCAAAAAAAAAAATTATTTATTTTTAATTATACAAAATTTTAATTATTCAAAAAGATTGTTATTCTATGGATATATTTTAAAAATTTAATTATCTTAAAAAAATGATTCAAAAATAGTTTTTGAAAGCTTTGCTTATAGTTATTTTTCGCACATTGGAAATCGAAATAAGTTGCATTATCAATTTTATACAAAAATTTCCAAAATCAATTTATTTGTAAAACATTTTTTTTTAATTTAAAATATCTTTATAGGTAAAAAAGTCCTATAATTTCTATTTGTTAATTACGATTTTTAACAAAAATATTTTAAAATTTTGTTAAAAAATTTGCATAACTTTTATTACTTAGTATAATTTTTAACGAAATTTCAAGTATTGTTAGAAACAAAAATTTTGTTTTTTTAAATTACCTTTATTAGAAAAACGAATTTTTAGAAAATGACCTTTATTAGAAGAAGAAAAATTAGAAAATCACTTTCATTGAAGAAAAGTTTTTTGGAAATTCACCTTTATTAGAAAAAAATTTTTAAAAAATTAGAATATACCTACGTTTTAGAAAAACTGTACCCCAACCATTTATTTCAATGATTCTCTCATTATTATTCAAGAAGGGGTTAAGTTTCCTTATTTATATTTTATTTTCAAGATTCAATTAAATATTCAGGGTGGATTAATTTTTCTTATTTATTAATATTTTATTTTCAAAATTCCGCCATTAAATATTCAGGGGGAGGGATTAATTTTTCTTATTTTATTTTTAAATAAAATAGAATATTGAAAAAAGAGGGGTTAATTTTTTTTATTTTTAATATAAAGAAGCGTTAATGTAAACTTTTTTTTTTATTCGTTTAAATATTTTAATATTATTGAAATACTAGAATATTGACATGTCGTGTATTGTGGTTTTTTTATAGCATTAATTGTTAAAAAGTTGGCAATTTCAATTGTAAATGAGAATATAAATTTATTAATTTATATTCAGAGGAGGATAAAGAAAGTTGAAAATATATTTTCAATAGTCTGCCGCGTCTGTTTCGTTTCGTGAGTTTTATTAATTAAAATTCTTAATAATTTTAATTTTGTATTAGAGCATCTGCACTTTATTCACCAACTGACATCCTGTATTATTGATTCTTTCAGACTGCACTCTCGCAATCTGGGTTACCCGAGAATCCACAAACCAGTTAAGGAATTGATTTCTCATTGTTAGAACTTTGATTATAATTTTTTGCATACAAATTTATTTTTTATTTAAGCCTTGATTTATTTCCTATTTTTTTTTTTTTGAAATTTTCAAGGTTCTTGGGAAATGAGCAGAAAAATATTTGAAGAAAATAAAATCTACAGTTTAAACAATAAAATAAGTTTTATTGTTCGAACTATGGATATTATTTTGTTAGATTCTATTATTAGATTTGACAATTTTTTCTATGGATTATTTTAGTTTTTGTTAATTATTTTTTTTTTTTTTTTAATTTTAATGCTAGTGTAAATTTGAAACTCACCGCCTCCATTTTGTTGACATAAATATGGAAACCTCCATATGTTTCCAAGTCCCACACTGTAACCAATAATACTGAGAAAAAACTGCAATTTGCCACTCCATTGTGCCCGATTAGCCTCCTCAGTTTCCTGATTTCTCGCATTTTGATTTGCTGGCACAACAATGGTGACATTGTGTCCACTGTGTAATCTACCTTCATTCAGGGGGGCCAACTCATGGCCGTGTTTTGAATTTTCTGGATTCACCCCCATGCTAATTTTTTTTTTTCTTCTTTTTTTGTCAAAGTGTCTTCTTTTGAATCCAATGGACTGCTTTCGTTTCTTTTTGTACTTAAAGAAAATCTTCCTAATGCTTCGCTCAGCGAGAGAATTTCGAAAGAATTATTTTTAATCCAAACAACGTGTATTTTAGAGTCTTTTAAAAAAAGTGCCTACTTTTTGAATTCATTTCAAAGTTCGAATTTTTTTTTTACACTTAAATAAATGCCTTGCTTTGAGACTTTGGAGAAAAATTTACAGAATAGGTTTGGAAATAATTTTAAATTCTTTTAATTTAATCTCCTTCTTTGTTTTATCAGAGAAGAATAATTTAAAATTCTTGTAATTTAATTAATTTAATTTTGCTTTTTTGTCTTATTAGAGAAAAAAATTTAATATCAAGTTTGAAAATTCAAATATTTTTACACTATTTTTTTGATTTCTTTTCTATTTTCAACATTTTCGATTCAGTATTTTTGAAATTGGAGTATTTGGAAATTTTCTTTATTGAATTGGAAAATTTATTTCAAATTTGCTTTTCTCTTTTGTTCTATTTGAAGAATAAAAATTTCAAGAAAAGTTCTATTCGGAAACTAGATTTTAAGTTCCACTATACTTCGAGAGACTATTTTCTTTTGTAACTGGAAATATTTTTATCACTTTTCAAACTATTTTGAGACTAAGTATGTTGTTATATTTTTGAGGAAAAAAATTTTGAAAAACTGAACTATTAATAAACTTTTACAAATTTGTTTTGTTTTTAATGTTTTTTTTTTCAAATTTTGGTTTAAAAATTCTTGTTGAAATTTTAAAAAGGAGTGAAAAATATAAGGTTTGAAAAATTTCACAATTAGTGACAAATTATAAAATTATTTTTAAACTTTTATAAAATGGTTTGTAGAACTTTAATGTATGAAAGTTAGAAAATTTTATAAAACTACGTTTTGGAAATTGAAGAAAAAAAAATTTGAATAGGAAGATCGCGAGTATGGAGAGAGAAAGTCTTATATTTTAATTTTCCACTGTTGTTTACTTGGGGAAAAAAACACGTGACACTAATTCGTTTTCGATTAAATGATTCGTTTCATCAAGGATTCAATTAAATTCCAATGTTGATTCACCTCGAAATTGAAATTATCTCAAAAACAGGAACACTGATTTCTAAGGCTGCAAAATTGCCACTGACTCTTAAAAAATTTCCCTTTAATTTTGTTATTTACAGATTTCTTACTCTTTTGTACATTTTATAATAAATTTTCTGATCTGATTTTCGTTTTTCTATTTTTATTTATTATTCTCATTTTTTTCTGCACGTATTTTTCTTCTTCTTCTTCTTCTTCTTCGTTTTATATTCTTGATCTGTTTCTGAAACTTTTTATTTTCATTGCCAGGGAAAATGAAAATTTGACAAAATATTCGTTTTCTGATGATTTTAAGTCATTAAATTGGAGAGGATACTGTCAAGATTCCGGCGATGAGTCGATAAATGCGCTAACCGGCAAAGGCGGTGGGATTAACTACTTGAATTTGATACTCTTGAGATTGTGTAAACTGGCGTTATAGTCGTTGTGAATGACAGCCGGTGTCAATTTTGAACCCATGTATGTCAATATTTTTTAACAATAGAAATTTTTTTATATTTATTTTTAAAAAATGCTAAGAGGCGTTTTTCTTTTATTTTTTGGAAAAATGTTTTTTCTTTATCTTCCTTTTGAAACGTCGCGACGTGTTCTGCTCGTTGGCCGATAACGGACTAAAGGGACCAAACCGTTGACGATTGATACCCCGGGGTAGGCGAGGAAACTCAGGGCCGGCTTCAGTTGCAATACAAGGGTGAATTTACGCGTTAGGGGTTGTTTTTTTTTCTTCAGAATTCTCTCTCTGAAAATAAAATTTTCGTTTTTGAATTTTTTTTTCATAATTTCTTCGAAAGTGGATGAAAATATTTTTAAAAATTATTTTTAGGTTCTTATCAATTCTCTGAATGTGATATAGATTAAAAATAACTAGATTAAATTTTGACTGACTTTTTTCCCCTATGTTTAGTACTTTTTAACTATAATTCAAATTTGATTTAAATTTAAACATGAACTGACAAATTCCGTATTTAAATTTTATTTACGTCAAAGTTTATTTGATCGAAATAAAATTCTTTATATGAAATTTGTGTTTTTTAAAACAAGAATTTAATTTCCAAAAATTAAGGGCACTTAATTTTTGGAAATTAAATTTTAATGTTGAATATTTTGTTTTAAAACTCACATAAAATTTTGAAAAATTAACTTGAAGCAAATAAGAAGTAGGCTTTGAGTGAAGTACATCTTTTTCCTGGATGCATATTGAAGTTATTTTTAAAAATTGAAATTAAAAAATTCTCATTTGGAATTGTCTTGATGGTTAGGATATCCTCGTTATCTTTTGTACTTCTTCTTCTTCCTCTCCTTCTTCTTCTTATTTCGAGTAATCTCAAAGATTATGTTTTGTCTATATATAGATATTTATGTAAATCTATTTGGTTTATTTCCTAATTATGAAGTTGAAATCATGTCAGTGCAACAGCAGGTGTAATTATCTACTTGAAATATACTCGACGTCTATATTTATAGTCCGCATACGTTTATAAACCTTCCATTGTTATGTATATTCAGATGAAGACTTAGTTGAACAAAGTAATTATTAGTTTAGCTTCGTAGCAGTGTCTTTTTTTTATTGACAATGCAGTAATAAATTGTTCGTAGGAATTAAAATTTTTTTGAGAAATTAAAAATTTAGAGAATTTTGCAATAATATCGTAAATAAAATTATTATTAGGGATAATATTATGGAGGATAAGAAATATTTTTATTTAAATGTAGAAAAATTTATAGGATCAAGTGAATTTCGTATTTTTGCAACAAACTTGCAGCAAGTTTGCAAAAATTAAAGTGCAAGCCTCTTGCAAGTAGTTTTTTTACTAAGAAAATAGTAAAAATTGACAGAAATTCGCAAAGTATTTTTCTTGTAAAAATTACAGGGTTGGGAAATTACACAGGTCAGGGAAATTAGGGAATTTAGGAAAAAGTCAGAAAAAGTAGAATTGGTCAGGGGAATTAGAGAAAAGTCAGAGATTTTTATTAAAATAACTGGAAAAAATTAAATGTTTAGAATTCATGAGAAAATTCTGAATTTTTGTGTCTTTTTGTTAATCTCATAAACTATAAAATTACCAAAAATTCTAAAAAAAACCTTTAATTTTTTTTATTTCTGATAATAATTTATTTTAAATAACTTAATTCTATTGAAACACTGCCATAAAGTTATTACTTATAAATCATTCAATAAAGTATTTTTATGAAAAATTTTAATTTCAATTCTATTAAAATTACTTCCAATTTTAAAAATTTTAACGCAATTCTTTGAAAGAATTAAACTATTTTAATAAATATTGAAATTCTTCAAAAATTTTTAAAAATATTCACGGCAACATTTCAATTATCTTTATAAATAGAAAAATTCTTCGCCGAAATTTAATTATATTCAGAAATTTTTATAAAATTCATTGTAAAATTCAATTATTTTTATAAAAATAACAATATTCATCGCACAAGAATTCAATTATTTTCAAAATTAATAAAATTCTTCTCAAAAATTTAATTATTTTCAAAAAATCTAAAAAAAATTGAAGCAAAATTCTTCGAAAAAATTCAATTATTTTCAGGTATTTTAATAAAATTCATTTGCAAAATTCAATTATTTTCAAAATTAATCAAATTCATTTGCAAAATTCAATTATTTTCAAAATTAATCAAATTCGTCGCAGAAATTCAATTATTTTCAAAAATAAAAAAAAAAATTCCTGACAACATTTCAATTATCTTTATAAATAGAAAAATTCTTCGCGGAAATTTAATTATATTCAGAAATTTTTATAAAATTCATTGTAAAATTCAATTATTTTTATAAAAATAACAATATTCATCGCACAAGAATTCAATTATTTTCAAAATTAATAAAATTCTTCTCAAAAATTTAATTATTTTCAAAAAATCTAAAAAAAATTGAAGCAAAATTCTTCGAAAAAATTCAATTATTTTCAGGTATTTTAATAAAATTCATTTGCAAAATTCAATTATTTTCAAAATTAATCAAATTCATTTGCAAAATTCAATTATTTTCAAAATTAATCAAATTCGTCGCAGAAATTCAATTATTTTCAAAAATAAAAAAAAAATTCCTGACAACATTTCAATTATCTTTATAAATAGAAAAATTCTTCGCAGAAATTCCATTATATTCAGAAATTTTTATATAATTCATTGTAAAATTCAATTGTTTTCATAAAAATAACAATATTCATCGCACAAGAATTCAATTATTTTCGAAATTAATAAAACTATTTTCAGAAATTCAATTATTTTCAAAAAATCTAAAAAAAAAATTGTAGCAAAATTCTTTGAAAAAAATCAAATATTTTCAGGTATTTTAATAAAATTCTTTGCAATATTCAATTATTTTCATAAATAATAGTATTAATCACAAGAATTCAATTATTTTCAAAAAATTTTGTTAATTTAATGATTTTCAATATTCTACTTTTTTAATAAAATTTCCCAAAAGAATTCAATTATTAAACAAAAATTTTGATAATATTCTACACGAACATTCAATTTTTTTCCAAAAAAAATAAAAATTTGACTAGAATTCAATTATAAAAAATAGAATTTGCCTAAATGTTATCAAAAAAATCAATTGTTTGAAACTTTTTTTTATAAAATTCTTCGCAATAATTCAATTATTTTTATAAATATACTAAAACTCATTGAAAAATTTCAATTATTTTTAATGCAATTTTAATCAAATTCCTCGAAAAATTTTAATTATTCTTAAAAATTTTATTCAAATTCGTCGAATGAATTTAATAATTTAAATATTTGTTAATAAAATTATGTAGAATTGAATTATCGCAGAATTTTCTAATAAAAATTGATGTAAAAATTATAATTTCAGTTCAAGTTATAGATAATAATTGAATTTTGGAGAAGTTACAAATAATTGCAATTTTTTTTAGAAATAATTGAATTTTGTAAAGGTTTTTAAATTAAAATCTTTGAAAATTTAAATTTTTCATGTAATACAACATTTTTTTGAGTATCTAATTAATTTTAAGAGTGAATCAGAATATTCTTTAGGGTCAGGGAAAAAGTGAAAATTTTGTCTGTAAATCAGTGAAAAGTCAGAAAAAAGAAAAATTAAATTTTTGTGGCAATCTTGAATTAGTAAAAAGTACTTCTAACGTGTAGCAAAATTTACTTCGAAGATAGTAAAAGTTGTTATAGAAATGCTCTAAAATTTCTGTCAGTTTGAGTATTACTATGAAAGTATAGTAAAAGTTACTTAATCCATATCACTGATTTCTTTTGGAGGTATCAAATTGATATTAGATTAAATGCATACCAGATTGGATCATATTGATACCAGTTTGGATGAAATTGGTACCAGGTTTGATGAAATGTACACCAAACTGTATCAAATTGATACCAATCTTTATCAAATTAATTACAAACCGTATAAAATTGATACCAGATGATACTTCAGGAACATTAATTATTACAATTTTTGGAAAAAAAATTATTGTTCTATTCAAGTGTTTATAGATTTTTTTTTCTTTTTTATACAATAAACTTGTAATCGGAGACCACCACTGAGGGAAAAAGTATTAGTATAGTTTCATGTCAGTCTTGAGTGCCAATATAAAAAGGTTACATGCTATACCTACATTTATATTTTACAACTCTTGTTTCTTTTTATACTATATGCCCTTAAGCATTTTGTGTATAAGTATAATCTGCGTTTCTAAATTTAAAATTGAAGGTTCTGTTAGTTTTCTTTAAATATAGCACTTACCTCCACTAAATAAATCTCTCCTCTATTTACAATTTCTTCTTCTTCTTCTTATGATTTGACAGTATCATAATATACAATATTTTTTTCAATTCAAAAAGGCAAAATATAATTTTAGCAAATTACGGAAAATTGTTCACAAAAATTCATCAATATTGTTTATATATATAGTTTATTAAAATAATGCACCTTCGCTTTATATATAGGTCGAAAGTTGATATTTAATTTTGAAATTCATGCCTGAATTATTCTGCAAAGATCGTTAATAATATTTTCGTATTAATGAATTTCCACCCCCTTCGGATAGGTATAATTTATATTGACAGTGGAGTAATATTGTGAAGGAGACGTTATTCATCTTGTGGGAAAGTTTTCAAAAAAAAGAAAAGAAATCACTTTGTGGAATAGAAAAATTTATCTCCGCAGTTTTCTTGAAAGTATCAAATTCGATACCAAATTGAATATTGTATATTGATACACAAAAATGTAAATTAAATTATTTTTTCTATCAGTTTCTATCAGTTTGTTATGTAAGTCGATATTAATATTTGATACTTTTAAGAAAACTACGTTTAAAGTACATAAATTATTTTTTGTACGATTATTTATACAAAGTCATTTTTAGAAAATTATTATCAGTTTCGAAAATTAGTAGCATTATTAGTATATATATAACTATAACAATTATCTTATTCCAACAAAAAGGATTTGCTTTTTGATGAATTTTGATAAAGTTTGTAAATTAATTTTGGAATTGAAAATAAATTAAAACTATGAAAAAATTGCGGAAATATTTTGGAATAATTTGAGAACTAAAGTTTTTTAATAGTCATGTGGATTGTTTTTGGGAATGTAAAGGGGGTGGGGGGTAAAT